ATGACGCTAGGGTTATAGTGAATAGATATACGTGGTTACCGAATGTTGTTCGGAGTCCCGGATGACATCCCGAACATCATCCGGAGGTAAAGATTTATATATGGGAAGTCCTGTTTTGGTCACCGGAAAAGTTTCGGGTGCTATCGATAACGTACCGGGACCACCGGGAGGGTCCCGAAGGTCCACCAGGTGGGGCTACCTGCCCCAGAGGGCTGCGTGGGCCAAGTGTGAGAGGGGACCAGTCCCAGGTGGGCTGGTGCGCCCCCCCACCAGGGCCCAAGGCGAAGAGAGAAGGAAAAAAGGGGAAACCCTAGGCTCAGATGGGCCTAAGGCCCACCTAGTGGTGCGCCCCCCTCTCTCCCCCCTTGGCCGCCCTCTAGATGGGATCTAGGGCTGGCCGCCACCCCTATGGGTGGAAACCTAGGTGGGGGCGCAGCCCCTCCCTTTCCCCTATATATGTGGGGGTTTTGGGCTGCCATACACACGAGAACATCTCCTTCTTGGCGCAGCCCTACCCCTCTCCCCCCTCGTCTCTTGCGGTGTTTGGCGAAGCCCTGCTGGAGTACCACGCTCCTCCACCACCACCACGCCGTCGTACTGCTGCTGGACGAAGTCTTCCCCAACCTCTCCTTCTCCCCTTGCTGGATCAAGACGTAGGAGACGTCACCGGACTGTACGTGTGTTGAACACGGAGGTGCCGTCCGTTCGGCACTAGGATTATAGGTGATTTGGATCACGACGAGTACGACTCCATCAACCCCCGTTCACTTGAACGCTTCCGCTTAGCGATCTACAAGGGTATGTAGATGCACTCTCCTTCCCCTCGTTGCTAGATTACTCCATAGATTGATCTTGGTGATGCGTAGAAAATTTTAAATTCGGCTACGTTCCCCAACAGCGCTGCACTCTACTGTGCAACTCCTTACAGCCAGGCGCTGCACAGTGTAGTGCAACTCCTTAGAGCTAGGCGCTGCACAGTGTGGCGCCTAAGTGTTAGGCGTTGCACAGTAGAGTGCAGCGCCTTAATGTCAGGCGCTGCACAGTGTGGCGTCTAAGTGTTAGGCGTTGCACAGTAGAGTGCAGCGCCTTAATGTCAGACGCTGCACATTAAAGATCAGCCGAGTGAAATACTTTTAAGAATAGTTTAGTTTGTGAAATAGTTTCAACCTGAGATCAAATTTATGCCTTTTGCGTACGCGAGAGCTATTTCTTGCTTTCTCAAGGAATCATGCTCCGTCGTACGAAATGGGTCAACCCATTTTCTTCTCCTCCACTTAAAAACAACAGAGAAAATAGTGGAGGACTCACGGATTGAATGCTAGTCTCCGGGACGATGCGCCTCGCTCGTGACCACTACGCTAGCATTGGGTTCTTGCTAAGTAGCTCGGCGCAAACATAGTTGAAGCGAAGATCTGGTTTTCAGCCAATTTTCTATATTTTCCTGTTTTTCTTTTTTCTTTTTTTTTCTTTCCTTTTTCTTCTCAATTTTCTTCATTCTTTTTTGCACTTTGTTTTCTTTCTTTCTTTTTTATTTTATTTTATTTTTTCTTCTCTTTTTTTGTTTGGTTTTCTTTTTTCTTCTCCATTTTTTGTTGTTTTCTTATGTTTGTTTTTTTCACTCTACTTTTTTGTATATTTCAAAAAAATAAAAATAAATGATCAACATTTTTGTATACAAATGTTGAATAAGCAACTGAAAAATGTTGAATAAGCAACTGAAAAATGTTGAATAAGTATTTGAAACTTTTTTCAAATACTTGTTCAACATTTTTAATACTTATTCAACATTTTTTCAAATACTTGTTCAACATTTTTAATACTTATTCAACATTTTTCATATACTCGCTCAACACTTTATAATTTGTATTCAATATTTTTCAAATATTTGTTCAAATTTTTTAATACTTATTCAACATTTGCAAATACTTGTTCAACAAAATTTTAATACTTATTCAACATTTTTTCAAATGCTTGTGCAACATTTTTCAAATTTGTTTTTAAAGATTATTTTTTGTATGTACAATATTTTAAAGTATAATGAACAGAAAACAGAATAATAAACAATTTTTTGAGTAACTAATAAATAAATAACAGGTCGTGGCCTCCCGCGCTGCTGGGCCAAACCGTCTGGGGCTCACCCGGCGCGAGCGATCCCCCCTGCGCCCGATTGAGTTATCGCTCACAACATGGTGTGGGCTAGCCCGTTTGGTTTTCCTGTATTTTTTGGGAAAACACAAAAAATTCAAAATGTATTTTTTCATAAATTTAAAACATATTTTGGGGATTCTGAACTTTATTTAATATTTTAACTTGAAAAATAAATAATATAAAAATTATAAAAGGAAAAAGAAAAGAAAACAGAAGACCAAGCATTTTCTAAATTTTTAGGTAAAACCCCCTAATATTTGGGTCAATCAACCTGCAGTACATCTGGAATAAATATTTTTCAAAATAATCATATCTTTTAAACCCCTCTAATTTCAACATGTTTTATATAAAATTTGATTAGAAAACTGTGTAGAATCTGAATATGATGTTATTTTTCTCTATTAATTAATTAACGAAATGCTATTTGAGGTGCAACCCAAATAATTGGCGCATGATCCGTCATTACTTCGTACATGGGTCGATTCGTATTGCAAATGAACGTGCAACACACATTGCTTTGTGCTACTTAGCAAGGACAGAGTGAGGGAAATGATAATACGAATCAATTACAATCCATAGGCATGTTGTACTTCCTGCAGCTTCTCTTTCTGTACATGTCCTATGATCGAAGACCCTACGTACGTAATCTTTTTGGTGAAATTCACACACGTATTTATCAATGGACTACACAATTCTTTTTATAGTGAATACACAAATAAATTTTGTAGCAAATACATACACTTATAAAACTTATGAACATCAGAAGTAGATGAAGATTTATTTTGAAAATATCCAAACAATTCTTGTGATAGTCATGAACGTTATTATTGGAACCGATATATAAGATCTTAATTTGTGTTTTATCCGCTGGCATGTGACGGTGTCACATATAGACTTTCTTAAATAGACTTAATTAATTGATGCGTCCTCCGTAATGTTGAACGACACCGACTGATTGCTATCTGAGCTTGGCCGTAGGTGCACGCCATCATTATTACGATTCAGAACCAAAGTTGAATCGAAATGAGAACAATTGCTTGGATAAAAAAATATTTACTCTCCCATTGCAGCACACGGACATATTTGCTAATCAGTAATAAAAAAATAAAAAATAAAAGAAAACCCTGTCCGAAAACGTTTCAAATCGGCTAGCTTGCAAGCGCGTGTAGCACGATTGATTTGTCTGCCCGTTGCTAGCGCTCGCAGCAGGCGATACACATCATCTGTGCATGACTTAACCGCGCTGCTCGTACCGGTTCGGCCATGCTAATATGAATTGGGTGAGGTGGCCAGCTGGTCTGCACCGTTAATCCCAGTGAATGGCTACAGTAGCCATTTCCTTTTTCTTACAGATCTGACCTATAATTTGCATTTGGGTTTACATAATACCCATTCAAATTCTGTTTAAACAATACGAATTCAAATTCTAAAAATTCAGAAACATGCACAAAGACAGTAGGGCTATTATAGTTTATATGAAAATATTTCCAGACCCAACGCATGTTTGGAAATTCATTTCTGCAAATGGACTCGATATGGACCATTTAAATAATTCTATAATTAAATTAGGGTTTATAGAATAGCCAAATTTATCCCCAAACCCGAAAATGCATTGAAATCATGGCATGCTTATGAATGACATGCTCGCATCATAATTTGAAAAATTTGGGATGTGACATGATGCATTTGTCGGTGCTTCACGGAAACAATTAGAACATGTGGGCGAATAAATGTTTTTTTTAGTTTAAGCTATGTTATTTTGAAACATGATGTCTGGATTGTAATATTTATATTTGAATTATTATTGCATTGTAGTATTTATTTTTGATTATTTTCAAGAAAGATGACTTGGAGAAAAAAAAGAGAAACAAATGAGTAGGCTATATTTATGGCTACCATTGAACGATCGGCACCGACTTGACAATCCATGGACATGTTGAGACGTGTTTGCAGACAAATAGAGGCGTACATTTGTAAGCCTTCAATGATGTTGGAAAAGAAAGGTGCGCTGTAAGACAGATTTGCGATGAGAGGGACTACTTGGAATGAAATAGGCGAGCGTGTCATCTTTTTTTTCTTTCTTTTAGAGCAAGTGCCATCTTGTGTTCTAATAATGCTGTATGTGTGCCGAGTGGAAAACAAAATCGCACTCGTGTACAAGTGCAGGTGCAAACGGAACACGAACGTTCGGTCGAGAATTGGCCGGTGATTCTCGATTCGTGCACGTGTCACTTTAAAGACTGAATTGGGTTCAAGAATTCAAGTCACACTGTAAGACCACAGCGATCCACACGTTTGGGGCGTACGGAGATTTTCCATTGAAATTGACGAAAAACCACTATCACAATATCAAGTGATCGAGTGCCGGGCATCCGGAGATTTCCATTGAAATTACAGTTTGACTAATTCACATCTAGATGTTTTTTAAAAATGTCACATCTAAACTCCCACAAATATATAATGCAGCAACAAGAAAAAAAACAAAAACAAAAACAATAGACCATAAATAAAGTGGATATGAGCTTAGATGTGACATAGTTATGTCACATCTAGATGTGTTCTAGACAGATCCTTGAAATTAAGGAAACATTCCTGAGCCGGGTGCCGGTGCATGCACCAGGATAGGAACCCGCAGGAGGATGCGAGATGTCGTGCAATGCTCGGGCACGCAACCCCCTCGCTCTATGTCGCCCTCTTAACAAGTACCCCCGCGTGCGATCCACCCACACGCCTTATAGCGCGGTCCGGCCCGTCGCGTCCAGCCACAACCCACCACCAAAGCCTTGCCTCAACAAGCTCTGCTGCTCCTGCGTTGCTCCGTCGTCAGTCCGGCACCGCTCCCGAGCCCACAGATGGCCTCCGACGGCGTGATCACACACCGCAACGTCGACGTGAACGGGGTGCGCCTGCACGTCGCGGAGGCCGGGCCGGCGGGCGCGCCCGTGGTGCTGCTGCTGCACGGGTTCCCGGAGCTGTGGTACACCTGGCGGCACCAGATGCCCGCGCTGGCCGCGGCGGGCTACCGCGCCGTCGCGCCCGACATGCGCGGCTACGGTGACTCCGACGCGCCCTCCGGCGGCCCGGACCAGTACACCGCGCTGCATGTCGTCGGCGACCTCGTCGCGCTCGTCGACTCCCTCGGCCAGAAGCAGGTCTTCGTGGTGGCGCACGACTGGGGCGCCTTGATAGGCTGGAGCCTCTGCCTGTTCCGGCCGGATAGGGTGAAGGCACTGGTCGCCTTGAGCGTCGCCTTCAACCCTCGGAACCCGGCGGTGAAGCCCGTGGACGCCTTCAGGGCTCTGTACGGGGATGACTACTACGTCTGCCGCTTCCAGGTATGTACTGTACTAGATACCATGCAAAAGTCTAGTTTTATCAGTATTTTTTATTTAACCATGCAGAAGAGCTGTATATATTCATCATTAGATAAGAGAATAGTACAGCATGCGGCACAATCCCCGACGGATGACCCAATTAAGGATGCTCCTAGCACAATCACCGACAACCAACGATCTATACAGAAGTAACAGATCAGTAGAACCAAAGTAAAAAAACAAACAAGGACCATATATAAACATAAATTGAACGAAACTGCTCCACATACAACACTTATTGTTCAATCTTCGTACCATCAAGCAATCCAGCACCCCTCGTAGCATATGCAGCCGGACGCCTCAAACGTCTGCGTATATGGTCCGGTTACTGACCGGTCACGAAAATTCGATCCAGATGAACTCTTCAACGGGCCTCAAACACCCAGACTAACCGACACCCCACATATTCAGCCCAAATATAAAGAGGATATGGGACGCCCGGGCACGTCCACCACGTTGGACCCAATTTACGCTGGTCCACTCGACCCCACATATATTCCTCCCCACCCCTAACCGGACCAAACCCTAGCCACTTCACTTCACTCCACTCCCCTCTGCCACCCAAGCTCCTGTTCGACGATCTCCAACCATCTCCGGCATGGCTGCCACCGGATCCGACTCCTTCACTTTTAGATCCTGACCCTGAACTCATCCCATGCGGCCCCGAGGAGGAGATGGTCGTTCGGCTTGCGGTCCGCCGCTCCTGGGAGAAGGCCCGTGCGAGGCAGCGTTCGGACTCCTTCCGTCAAAATGTTCGACAAGCCCCAAAAGGAGAAATGTGGCCCCCAAAGCCCTAACATATCCCTCATCATACGGTGGGCGAGGCGTGCAGACTTCACAGGCCAAGCTCTAGGCAGAGAACGTAAGATTGTCATCTTCTTAGCCAGCGCGAGGAGGGGGGGTCTAGCCGGAACATTCACCCGGGATGGTGATAAAGAGGTCTAATGCCTCCCGCGGATGATCTCCTAAGAAGGATTTGGTCCATCGGTAAGGGTCGACATAGCACCGAGGACCAATAGAATGGCAAACTCTCGAGCCCTGAGCTCCTGGTGCATGGGCCCACTCTGGTGCAATTCTTGCGGTGGTTGAGATGTCTACCTCGAGTGAAAAGATCAGGCTAATGAGAAACACACTACCCCTTGGTGTTTTCCCATTGGCGTCCAGCTTGAGAAGCTACATATTCGTCCTTTGGTAATGTGATGCAGTGAAACACATGAAACCTAAGTTGGCCAAGGCCCGCAAATGGTGTATCATGTGGTGAAGGATTCTTCGAGTGCGCCATCACTATAGCAATGTGTAACGTCCTTGATGCGGTTATATCTCTCACGTGTCGAGGCACGACTTAGAGGCATAACCGCATTAAAAGCAATGTCACAAGTTAGGCAATCTTCACAACATCCCATGTAATATAGATAATAAAAGGGGAGATACATAGTTGGCTTACACTCGCCATGTCAATCAAAATACATAAATAGCATTACATCAATCAAACACTCATGGCCCGACTACAGCGCCAAAATAAAAGATAACCCCAACATGCGACACGGTCCTGATCGCCCCAACTGGGCACCACTACTGATCGTCAGGGAAAGAAACATAGTAACGACGTGAGTCCTCATCGAACTCCCACTTGAGCTCAAGCGCGTCATCTGGAACGGAGTCATCGGGCTCTGCATCTGTTTTGGAAGTAATCTGTGAGCCACAGGGACTCAGCAATCTCGCACCCTCGCGATCAAGACTATTTAAGCTTATAGGTAAGGCAAGGTAAATATGTGGAGCTGCAGGAAGCGACTAGCATATATGGTGGCTAACCTGTTCGAAAAAGAGAGCGAGAAGAGAAAGGCAAAGCGCGAACGAGTAACTAGAGAGCAACCTGCGGCAAGCATTACTCCAACACCGTGTTCATTTTCCGGACTTCGCCGAGAAGAGACCATCACGGTAACTCACATAGTTGATTCATTTTAATTAAGTTAAGGTTTAAGTTATCTACAACCGGACATTAACAAATTCCCATCTGCCCATAATCGCGAGCACGGCTTTCGAAAGTTCAAATCCCTGCAGGGGAGTCCCAACTTAGCCCATGACAAGCTCTCATGGTCAATGAATGAATAGACCTTCTCCCGAGACATTCCGATCAGACTCGGCATCCCGGTTCTTCAAGACACTTCGACAAGTTAAAACAAATCCAGCAACACCGCCTGAATGTGCCGACAAATCCCGATAGGAGCTGCACATATCTCGTTCTCAGGGCACACTCAGATGAGCTCTCCATACAACTAAAACCAAACCTCGAGTTTCCCCGAGGGGGCGCTGTACAGGACTCTAGTTTGGACCAACACTCAGAGGAGCACTGGCCCGGGGGGGTTTAAATAAGATGACCCTCGGGCTCCGGAAACCCAAAGGAAAAAGAGGCTAGGTGGCAAATGGTAAAACCAAGGTTGGGCATTGCTGGAAAAGCTTTATTCAAGGCGAACTATCAAGAGGTTCCCATTATCACCCAACCGCGTAAGGAACGCAAAATCCGGGAACATAACACCGATATGACGAAAACTAGGACGGCAAGAATGGAACAAAACACTAGGCGAGAGGCCGAGCCTTCCACCCTTTACCAAGTATATAGATGCATTATGATAACAAGATAATATAATGATATCCCAACAAGTAAATAATGTTCCAACAAGGAACGACCTCCAATCTTCACCTGCAACTAGCAACGCTATAAGAGGGGCTAAGCAAAGCGGTAACATAGCCAATCAACGGTTTGCTAGGACATGGTGGGTTAGAGGTTTGACATGGCAGATAGGGAGGCATGATAAGCAAGTGGTAGGCATCGTAGCATAGGCATAGCAAAAGAGCGAGCATCTAGCAAAGCAAAGATAGTAGTGATTTCGAGGGTATGATCATCTTGCCTGCAAAGTTGTCAGAGTTGACCGGATCCTCGAAAGCAAACTCAACGGGCTCCTCGTTAGCGAACTCGTCTCCCGGCTCTATCCAAACAAGACAAAACAAGCAAACGGAACACAATCAACCACGTGCAAAGCTCAAACAACATGATGCAAACATGGTATGCTATGCGGGATGCGATATGTGATGCATATGCAAGATTTGACAAGGAATGAATGAACCTGGCATCAACTTGGAAATCCTAGTGTGCCACTGGAAAGGTGAGATGATTTCGCTTGAAAACGATATAAAGAACGCCGGAATCGGAGTCACGGTTTGGAAATGGCAAGCAATTCAAATTTGGCATCGCTTTGCGATTTACAGCAAGTAGCCATCTAAATGCAACAAGATGAACATGCTACAACACTCAAACATGGCAACAAAATACATGGCAGGGATCCATTCATGATGCTTAACAAAAGATGAACACTGAGCTACGGTCAATTCATCCATTAACAGGTTCAAACAAGCATGACAAAAATGCATTTGGTAAACAGATTTCAGACTTAGTGAAATCAATACTTGTCTGGAATTTCAGATCAGGTAGCACATTTTAGAGCATGAAAAAATATATGCTACATGTACTGAACATAGAAAAGTAAAGCATGGCATGGAGCTACTCAAAGAGCTTAACAAAAGTTCCTTAGTGACCTTGAGCCAAAAGGGATCAGAAAATACATTTGGAAGCATGAGAACATGGCAAAAACATAAGCAGTTCTCAGACTTAGTGAAAAACTGGAACATGCAAAAACAGATATCAAGTAGGCATGTTTACGAGCTCGATACACTCACTACAGAGCAAGTCATGACAATCTAAGCATACACCCATCAAGAATACACATTATACAAGCTAGACATGGCAAGAACAATAACATAGCATGCACGGATCAACTACAACATCCTCGGCAAAATCGCTAACAAGTAGACAATCTGCCCAGATTCACGAAATAGTAAAAGTAGAGCTCGATTGACTCAAGCTAGGGTGCTCCATAATTACAAACAAAGACATGGATGGATAGAGCACTACAAGAATAACAAAATATCCTTACTGATCATCCTCAAAAGAGGCACGGATCACTAGGAAACAACATGAACATATGGCATATTGAGATAAACAGATCAAGGACTTGGTGGAATTACTAAGTCCCTGAAATCAGCATTAACAAATGCTCTACTTTGCAAGCTTGTGCTAGTCACCACACACATCACAAAAATACATGGGTTGCACCTCTGGATAGATGGCAAAACACATAACAAAACACATGAAGAGCTCAGGGGCATATCATGCACCCAATAATCATGGCAAAAATGACAAATAGCTAATTGGAGCAATAGATCTGACAAGTATCTCAAATAGCATTGTTCCAACAGCATTTCGGGTATCAAGATGAACTCAAATGAAAATGAGGCAATGAGATGAAATGATGTACTCTCTGAGGCGAACATTTTGATATGCTATATGCCCAAAACGGAGCTACGGGTGCAGAGTTATAGCATGATGAAAAACGCAAAAAGTTAGGGTTTCGGGGCAAAAGGTCAACCGATCCCGATCTGGATCTGGAGGGCACTGTAGCGGCGCGAGGTTCGAGGTTCGCCGGGGTCATCGGACTTGGAGGGCTCGCCGGCCGAAGGAGGAGGACGTCGGCGGGGCGGCGCGGTGGAGAGGCCGGGGCGGCGAGGCGAAGAGGCCGGGCGGCGAGGCGCGGCCGGGGACGGAGCAGGACGGCGGCTCGGCTTGGCGGCGGAGCGGGCCGGGAGGCGGCGCGGCGGCCGGACCCGACGAAGAC